AGAGTCGTGCCAATATGAGGGACACAAGAGTCTCAGAAGGGTTAGTAGCACCAATACGAAATAGTTAGTGGGAGGCCTGACCCCACCCACCTCCCCCATCATGACTGCGCCCCGACTCGATCATTTGTCGAAGGCCAGACAGTGTCCACGAAGACAGAAATCTCAACCATAACCCCATTCTTTCACTTCAAATATTTATTAACAAGAACAACTGTGACCAGCTTAAACCAAACAACGCACGGCAAAATTCCAGACTTCAAATATGTACAAATACTTGAGACTTGAAAACTTCACAAAAATCAAAGAAATCTTCGGTAGTTCACCAGGGTTCTCCATTCCAAAGCCAACTGATCGATCACAGCCAAGCCTGAAAGAATTAGCCCTCTCTGGTTTATATCAGGCTGAGGACATTAAGCAACTCACCTCTGCCAAGGTCCGGTCCATTGGCCTTAAGCGAGATCATCGTATGCGTCTTCGGCCTCGATCGCTTCAATAAGTTCTTGAGAATTTTCGTCTATGTCATCGACATCGTCTCTTAACATCCGTGCTCGATGGGCCAGAACTTTTTGGAGGACGTTATCCCTCCATGAGTGGACTACTGGCGTTTTGAATTTCACCAGAGTCTTTCCTCGGGGTCCATCCCGTTCCTCTACTCGTTCGACTTTTCTAGCACCTGACAGCTCAGCAAGTCTTAGCGTATTTATGTGCATTTCAGCCATCTTCATGAAGACCGGATAGACAGTGATCGGACTGAAAACAGATATGTTCGTATCAGGCACTTCAACTCTTCACCTTTCGCAAGCCCCTTCAACGATCACTGGATGGGTGGGGAGTGGGCGGAGACTCACAATCACTGCGGATTCCCTACTGGTGCGCTCACATCTGGGCACGTCGTACTTTGGTGATCCCCAGCGCTGACTATCGTCGGTCTTTACTGTTTCAAGTGCGCTACACCACCGACCCCCTCGCTTGTCTCCACGACAGTTTTTCCAGGAAAAGCGGAGGAATTTAAACAAAGACTCCGGAAATGTGGCAAGCTGGGGAGTTGTTGGGGCAATATAGGAAGACGGTAGGTAGGGAGGGGATGGAGAAGGGGGTGAATAGGGGAGGAAATTCCGAGGAGGGTACTATGTTGCGAAATTTTTCCCCAACGACCGAACGTGCCTTGGCTCACATTTCTATCACAGTAAAGAGTAAGGGCCCAGTGAGAGGTAGGCACAAGATCTGCGAGTCTCTGCCCACCGGTTAGCGCGGAATTCGCTCTTAACACATTGTGGATCACAAGAATGCTGAGTTATGGGCGAAAGTCGTCGAACCTCAGGCGGGAGTCGAACCCGCACCTCACGCTTTCCGGGCGAGTGCGCTATCCGTTACGCCACCAGGGCCGCTTTTACCCTCTCAGCTTAACGGCTTTTATGCCGTAGCCTATCAGCACTCACACGTTTACATGGTGATATTATATAAAATATTAAGGACCGCCCAATTCATAATTTTTTTACAACGAGAGCTAGCGGTTCTACTGCCCTTTCAGTTTCATGCGAAACATGTTTTGACAAGTCCAGAACATGAAAGAACTGCCAAATGGGAATGTATGACTGCACATGTATGTCAAACGGTCCGGAATGGTTATATACGGCTACATAAAGGTTGCAAACTTACTAGTC